CTGCCTCCCTAACCTGTTCTTCCTCCCACCTATCCCCTCCTCCCACCTCAAGCCGCACCTCCATCTCCTACCGACCAACCTCATCCCGCCCCCTTGACCTGTCCGTCCTCCCTGGACTGACCTATCCCCTTCCTAACTCCCTACCTACACTCACCTTTCCTGGCCCCATCCCCGCCTCTTCGACCTGTTTGTTTCCTCTCCACCTATCCTCTCCTCTATCCCTCTTCTATCCGCCTCCCACTCTCTCCCTATTTATTTCAAAACCCCCTTCCCCTCCCCCTTTTCTGATGAAGGGTCTAGGCCCGAAACGTCAGCCTCTCTGCTCCTGTGATGCTGCTTGGCCTGCCGTGTTCATCCAGCCCTGCACCTTGTTGTCTCTTGATTCAGATGTTATCAGTTTTGCAAAGCATAAATTAAACTGTTACCTTAGGCATGAAGGTTTTCTCAGACTGTTGCCTCTTCTCTTTCAACATCTTCATTTCTGATAGAATGCTGTCTCGTGATGCTTTAAACTTTCTCTGTTGCGTTTCAATCTGCTGCATTTGGTTCATTAATTGGTCAATCTCATTATTAATCTGTACATTGTGCTAAGGAACAATATCTTTGCCAACGAACAATATTTCTGCCAATTTCAGAAGAAAATCTTGTACATACTATCAACTGATTTTTAGTTATATAAAAAATGTAAACACATGTTGATCCATGAAATGCATCTGTCTTTTATAGAACATTCTTAATACATAAATATGAACAAGGAAGGACTGGGCACTCCAACCCTCCCACAAACACTTAAAAACATTACAAAGACTTAATATATTAAAAGTTTAACTGTCTTTTTATAATTTTTAATATACCTGCAAAGGATAAACAAAATGTAGTTCAAGCAACTCCCTAATATTTTATGGTCCTCTTTCTTGTTTTAAGACTTTCACCTTTAATTTGTCTCAGTTTTGGTCAGTACAGGGGCAAGGCCAAAATATCACATTCTCAGCAGATCAGAAGTCACGAATAGCATCAAGATTTAGGGCTGGTAGGTATAAAGGACACAGACTCAAGTAGAGAGATAGATGCAGAGCATCAGAACTTTTTAAGCAAAGAACATATGAAAAATGGGCCGGACATGAATTTCAGCTTTAAGAGAACAGTGAAAAAAGTATTTGGGTCCCAAAGTAACTAATTCCCATGAAAAAAACAGTATGGTTATCTGAACGAGAATGCTCAAATGGATAATCCCTTAACTTTTTTTTGAATTACACATACTGGCATGCTTTCCAGCATGGTTATGCAATGCAACATAAGCAACGTCCTTTTTTTCAATGCACGTAAACTTGCTCAGAATTAAAATAATCACTTGCATTTACATGCTTGATTTAAAGGAACATTTTCTGAATTGTATTTCTCAGTAGTTAAACGTCCACAAAACCAATTACTATTACTTTCAGAAATCATATTGTGCTTTGCAGCGTATTGTGTCATATCTACACTCTGGTTGTCCTAAGTTGAAGACATTAATTTAAAATAAATCATGCGGATCTGAAAAGTCTTGTATTCAGCCATGTACTCATTACCATCAGCAGAAAAGCAAAGGCCATAATAATTTATAACACACTAACTATTAGGGGAGTCCAGTTTGATGAATGATTAAAATAAAATCGCGTACTTTCAAGAACACCAGCAGTGAAATGTCACTGAAAGCCAAAGTGAATAAATATCTTTGTTTTCCTTCCCACCCTCACCCTGTCCAAAAGGCTACCCTGTAAAAACAAAATTGGCAAAAACAAATCATCTGCTATAGAACAAAGCCACATATTTCTACCCTAGTCGGACACCTAGTTACAACTCAAATTAAATATTTAAAAGCATGATTAAGGAAATTTTTTAAAATTAATTTTCTACCTAAAATAAATTCATTTCAAAAGGATCAAACACTTGTGCCTTGGAAAATAAGAAAATTGTAAATAGTAGTAATAAGGTCATTAGACTCAAGTATCTGAATATTTGGGTGTTTTAGACACACACATGCACAGAGTGCAAAAATGAAAAATGATTCTTTTCAGAACTAAATCTACGCAAACAACTCTATACATATAGTAACTTAAAACAAAAATAGACATGTCCTTCATTTATGCATCAACATCACAAATTTATACATAGAACTTTAGATGATAGAGCACAGGAGGCCATTTGGCTATTTCCCTGTTCTTCCCACACAGCCCTGCAAATATTTTACCTTCAAATATTTATCCAATTCCTTCTTCAAAGTTACTACTGAATCTATTACCACCACCACTACAGGCAGTACTTTCAGGATGACAATTCAATGTGTAAAACCACAGAATACTTATAGATAAAAGTGTCTGCAGCTAGCACTTTCCTTAAACTTTAAATAAAGAAATATAGAGATTTTGAAGGATATTCTCAATGTTTCGACGGAGATTTTCATTCAGCTTTGCTTCTAATTCAGTTAATTCTTCCTCTGCTTTTCGTGCATCCTTCTGAAGCTCGAGTCTTGATTTTCTAGTGTCATAATAGCCACCAGTTAATGCACCTCGATGACTAACCTGGTCACCTAGGAGAAAGAGAACAACATTTCAGTCTACTGAAAAACATCAACAGTAAGTTACAATTCTTACAACAGAACACAGGACAGGACCTGCAAATAAATAAACAGAGAGCAGAAAGATTATACAACATAGAAGGCAGAGTTTTGCAATCCTTGGAGCAGGCTGGCAGGCAGCTGAGAGCATGTCACGGCAACCTTTCCTGCTGTGTACCTGCCAGCTGCCACTTCACGGCAATTTTACACATGGTAAGAGAAGCACCAAGCAGTCCACCCAGCCTCTGGTCAATTGAAACTTTTAAGTGACCAATTAATGACAAGAGCTTCTAACTGCCACATCACAATTTCAACGTCATAACTGGAGGCCAGAGACACATTGGAAACCAGTCAGGTCTCACCCATCCATTTACTGATAGGAGAGGGAAGGGATATCTCCTTTACAGCCCCTGCTCCTACCCAGCAGAGGTTCCCGCACCTATATGCTTTCCCACCTCGCTGATCTGTACAACTTCCTGTCCTTGTGTCTCTGGATAACTGAAACCATGCCAGCCCTCAAAGTCTGGTTATAATTTCCACTGGAGCCTAGATGCAGTCCCAGCAGTAGCCTCTGCTCCTGGTGCAGCTAGCCATTTGATTGAGTGTGACAGAGTGTCAGAGGTGTGACTGGTACCCCAGATAAGGGTGCCTGACTCTCTGAAGATAATTAGTGCCCTCATTAAGGGCTAATTGGCCACAGGCCAATCCATCAGAATGGCTTACCATTAACATTTTCACCGAGGGTGATGGTGGTAACCCCAGTGCCACATAAAATGTTGCCTTGTGACTCACTGAAAAAGCAAATCAGCCTCAAAGACAGAATCCAGATGAATTGTAATAAGACCATAATATTACATTCCAAAGGTGTTTTTAACCAAATCGTGTGCATAGAATTAATACTGAAGAGAGCTGACTTAGTTAAACAGAAGGAAACAATGGCAGACAACACTGCAAACAAAATATAAATTGTATAGATATCAAATCTACATTTAAGAGGGGATTTTTGTTGGGGTTACCACAGTTCACTTAGCAACCAATCAGCACTGTCCTCACATGCAACACAAGTGTTTATTTGCCCCTTGAATCGACATTCTTGCAATTTGCCATGGTTCAAGATGAAAAGGTTTAACAAAGTAGTGTCTTTTTCAACAAAACTCAAGTTCTAATAAATTAGCTGAACTACCATGGTGATCAGGATATAGGTGAGCTGATAGTTTAGGACTTCACTTTAGTTGCAATGTGACTGGTAGAAATGAAGCAGCATAGTCTACACTGACTTGAATTTTCTGCATCAACAAGGATGCCAAAAATCAGAGTACGAGCAAAAATTCAATCTTACTAACTTCACTAAAATGTTCAAAGGCAATAGTAACAGATCAATTTGGGAGAGGTCAAATGATGTGAAGGCTAACTGCATCATAAACATGAACAATCTATTCTTTGTGTCAGAAACTGCAGTAAGAATTAACAAGATGAAAAATCTAAACAGGCAGGAGTCAACAAAAATTTGGCTTTCATCACAGAAGAAAATGAGAGCAAGAATACAGAAAGTGAGAAATTAGATTTGAGTTGCCAATATAAATGTTGCCATTATGTATAGTTTCAGGTGTCGTTATCAACTCAGCACTCGAGACTTACATGTGATATTGACAGAGATAGCAAAAAGACTAGGAGGCCATCACTGCTGAAACACCAAAGGGGTATCTCATATACTCCATTGTATGGTGAGCAACATCCAAGGCATATTCCCTCATCACAGATACCCCATCCAGTCATAAGCATGCCTGCAGCACAGCTACACCAGGATTTCAAATAATGGGAAGGCAACTTTCCAAATGCTACCAATAAATTCAGGCACATTACTATTCAGGTGGTCATGCTGCAGAGGTGTTTTTATCTCTGGGGACCCTCAAGAGAAACAAGCTTTCTAGCACTTCAAGTAATGATGGAGCAGACGGCTACACTACAGGGTGAAACGATTGGAGAAAGAGAAATGGGGAGTTAAAACATCAAGCCATTTGCAAAAAATATACACGAAAATCTAGCTCAAGAAACCAAATGAGTGGGTTGAGGAGAGTGAAGAGGAAGAAAATTGTAATTGTATTTATATGAATGAAGTAGAGAGTTGGGTAGTGAAATAAATTATTTTAATTTCAGATAAATTTGATTTTGAACAGATTATCAGTTACGTAAGTTTCAATTGTAATTTCCATTCAGATTACGGGTTTTCTATAACAACCAGTTTGCAGCACTAGTTTGATGCTCTAACGAAGAGCTGAAAATTTATCTATGAGGAAGCAGTGCTAGTATAAAACCAGATGATTTAAGAACATCTAACATTTGCAGAAAATGCTTCCTTTATCTCTCCCTCTCAAGGAGAAGAGATATAATAATATATGCCCAACTCCCAGAACCAGGTCAGATGTTAAGACACCAATACCATTAGGATGGTTATCATGAATAAAATTAAAAGATGAAATTTTATGACAGATACATAACTATTACATCAAAACATGATTCAAAGCCTCCGGCTCTTTGTCTACAAGAATTAATGGTTTCAGCTGTTAAAATACCGAGCTTAGTTATTTTAATCACTGTAAAGTAATTATATCAGAAAAATATAAAGTGGAGACCAAAGAAACAAATTCATACTAAAATATAGCGGATACGCAATGTAAACTAAATCAGTATTGTAGCTGAAAATTCGAAGTCTATACACAGCATCATTCTTCAATTTTGGTTGAACAGATTTGATGAACCAAGTGAATTTTGGGAAAAGATGACAATTTTACACCATCTTATACTTCTAATTATGATAACGTTTAAAAAAAAATTCAAAAGAGTAGCACATTTTGACAATGATAAACAGGTTATCATCTGAAAGCATCAATTTGATCTGGAAGAAAATTATGTCTTCAGAGCCAGACAGAAAATTCACATAAAGCCCTTCATCTTAACTGTGGATGAGTCAGCCTGCTTCTTCCACACATTGATCAACTAAGCTCTTACGTCAGGTACAGAGGTACAATTTCACACTCATATCTGTGGCCAAGGGAATTGTATATCCTGGTATTCCCGTAACAATGGTGTCATCACACTTTATATTGTACAATAATTGAAATTGCAAAAAATCCAGTGTGTGAACACCACATACAAAAAAACTTCACAGATTACTGATCTCACTCCAGCTATCCAAGCCTACACTATTAAACATCACTGAGTCAGAAATGACCCATGCAATGACTGCAATCATTTAACAAACAGCACTATTGGTTTTAAAGCTGACTAACCTACCAAGAGGATGCAAAGTTGTTCTCAAAGTGTTACTTCTGCATTACATCCAAAATCAGATGTTTGAAGTATGCATTAAAATCAATAAAATAATAGGAGCCGGTATTATTCAGAATTCATTTCTCTAATTCTCTACTGTCAATTTTTGAAGTGGGTTCTTGGGTTTAAATTCTGAAACAGCTGAACAAATTAATTTGAAAAATGAATGTGTCATCTATCTTAAAAGTATAGGATTTGGGATTACTTCAATTAACAGATATCATTCGTATTAACGTTATGCATTTTGAATTGCACAATTTAATACAATATTATATCTAAAGGTCAAAATCGGCTTCTATAGGAAGGATGTTGATAAACTTGAGAACGTGCAGAAAAGACGGCCTTAACCGTGATCTTGGGCTCATGTCATGCTACATGTAACCCCACCACACTGTTCTATATCTGTAAAATCTTCCTTACTGTCCTGTTTTGACACCATCACCTTGATAACTTATTATGGTCTCTCTACATTTATTAGTGGTATAGTTTTGGATTACTTGTTACTTTGGTTAGACCCTTGGTATATGACTCATACCATCATGTCATTCCGGCCATGTGATTGTTTCCAGCACCACCTTATTTTTAATTTTTTGTAATTATCTCTCTGCCGCAATTAATCTGATTATAGGTCATCCCTTCACTAGCTATTCAGCTGCTGGCACTTTACTCACACTGTCTGACACTTCTGATCACCTGCAAAGACTTATTACTCAGCCTGTCAACACTCCACTCACACCATTTGAATGATCTTTCAATCACTCTGTCTATAAATTATGTGGCTGTGTGCTTCTCTTCACTCCACCTGATGAAGGAGCAGTGCTCTGAAAGCTTGTGATTTCAAACAAACCTGCTGGACTGTAACCTGGTATCATGTGACTTCCAACCAAGTCAGGATGACTACCTTCAACATCGAGGCAGCACGTGACAAAATGTGGGATCAAGCAGCTCTAGAAAACTGGAGACAAGGGGAATGGAGGAGGAGGCGAATTCTCCATTAGTTGAAGTCCTTCCTATTACAAAGGAAGAAGGTTACTGGAGATCAATCATCTCAGCCCCAGGAGAGCTCTGCAGGGCCTCCTCAGGAGTAGCATTCTGGGCCGAACAATCTTCAGTTGCTTCATCACTGACCTTCCCTTCATCATAAGGTCACGAGGTAGGGATGTCCAATGATTTCACAACATTCAACACCATTCACAGACTCCCTTTAGTACCTAAGGAGTTATGTTCAAATGTAGCAATGTCTGGACAATATTCAGGCTTGGGTTGATGTAGGAAGTAACATTTATGCTGCACAATTACCAGGCAATGACCATCTTGAACAAGAGAGAGTCTATCAATCACATCTCGACATTCAACAGCTAATTTCCTCCACTATCAATATAGTGGTATCTGGGTTACTGTTGATCAGAAACTAGAGCAGCCATATAAATACTGTGGGTACCAGAGCAGGGAGCTCTGTGAAAAGTAATTCATCTCCCAATTCCCCAAACCCAGTCCACAACTTACAAGGCAGATGTCACAAATGTGGTGGAATATTCCCTATTTACTTGAACGAGTGCAGCTCCAATGATACTCAAGAGGTTCAACACCATTCAGGATAAAGCAATTCACTTGACTGACACCCAACCTGACATCCTCAAACATTCATTCCACCCATCACAGTGGTGGAGTGTATACCATCTACAATATGGAATACAACAACTTACCAATGCTCCCAAGTCAACATCTTTCAAACCTATGGTTATTACCACATTTTAGTTCTTTTGCAAACCAAACACAATCCTGATTTCAAACTTCACTGCTATTCCTGTACTTTCGCTGGATCAAAGTCCTGGAACTCCCTCCCTAACAGCACTGTGGGTGTACCTACCCCACAGGGACTGCAGTAATTCAAGAAGGCAGCTCACCACCATCTTCTCAAAGGCAATTAGAGATGGACAATAAATCCAACTGGCCCATCTTGTGAATAAATAAATAAAGAAAAGCAGTGTGGATATAGCGATGCATTTTGCCTGTGGACACAATAAAATGACAATGCCATGGCATTTAGTACGCATTAGCTCCTGAGTTATTGGATTTTAAAAATAAATATGCTTTTACAACTTAATTATAAGCATCCAAGCATAGTACAAATTATTGACAGAGAAATTATGACAAAGGAAGTAAGAATGACACAATAGTAGGACTGTACACTTTAGATGATGTAATAGCAAATCGCTCGTGGCAGATTTCAAAACACAATGTGTTACTTCAGCTTAAGACCAGTTTGGGTACTTTTTAGGTTAAAGAGTAAACAACAAATTAGGCTGTGTAGGGATTATGGACATTTAGGTCTAAATTTTGTGAAGTTGCAGAACTGCTCTACACTTTTACTTGAAATGTCCAAAAGTACACAGAAAAAATCTGCGCAGTGAGTTTTCTATATTTCTGTCCTATTTTCTAATATTTGCTGCCAGCCCATTTTGTGATCCTTGCAAAGATCAAGTGGCATAACTACCTAAGTTACAGGAAAACATAGCCAGCTTAGTCAGATGAACCGATCAACGGTAGACAGAATTTAGCCCTAATAAGTGTATGGCGATGCACTTTGGAAGTACCACCAAATGGTTTGACTGTACTGGACGGAGTATAGAGGAACTTAACCAGGATGCTGCCTGGGATGGAGCAGTTCTGCTATGGAGATAGATGCATAAACTCAGGTTGCTTTCTTTGAAACAGAGAAGGCCAAGAGGGGACTTGATTGAGGCATATAAGATTATAAGGGGCATGGACATAGTGGATAGAATGTAGCTGCTCTCCTTTGTTGACAGGTGAATAACAAGGAGCATAATTTTAAAAGGTGAAAAGCAGAGAGTTACAGGGGATTTGATGTAATTTTTTGTTCAGCCAGTGTGTGTTAGGAATCTAGAATGCACTGCCTGAGGCCATGGCGAAGAGCTGGAAAGTGGAACTAGTGCAGGTTTAGAATTTTTTTTAAATGGTGAAAACTCAATGGGGTGAAAGACCTCTTCTGTACTGTATGATTCAATGTGCCAATTCAGATGAATCACTACAACAGGATTAACATATCATATGTTAATATTTTCAATAAAACTAAATAGACCATAATACCTGAATTTACAAACTGTCAAAGATGATCACCAAGATTCTGCAAACAGTCCTAAAATTTATATGATAAGCAAGTACTATTAGAGCATGGACTTTTAAAAATTATTTATTTCTCAACAGTTGTACTAGATTTCCTGTATAGTAATGTAGTGTGGATACTAGTTCCGAGGGTCACTTGACCCGAAACGTTAACTCTGATTTTCTCTTCATAGATGCTGCCAGACCTGCTGAGCTTTTCCAGCAACTTCTGTTTTTGTTCCTGATTTACAGCATCCATAGTTCTTTTGGTTTTTATACCAGGCCATTAATTCATCATGAATAGTTAACATATGCAGTCAAGTGGAAGAAAATTAAAGTTTAGCTACAGAATTATAACTAAATTACAATTTGTGAAATCAAAAGGCGGTAAAACAAATGCTAGCAAAGTAATCCAAAAAAAATTGTTCACATGGATTAACTGAGTGCAGACTTAACAAGAAATCTGGTAAATTCTATTAACCTAAACAACCATCAATTCAAATGCAAATATGACTGAACAGTGACAGATCATCTTGGTATGTTATTAACTTTTTTGAGGATAAGGCTGTTAAACAATAATGATCTCAAACAACTAATAACAAAGATTTTAGTAGTTAAATCACAATATTATGAATCTCTTGTGCAGCACTTGCAAGCTAAGCTACTCAGAGTCTTTTCACACTTTTATTGCCTACTCTCTTTCACAAAAGACAGGTTCTATTTGACATCAATCTTTAATAAACATTTTAGAGACAACAATCCATTTAGACAAACTTGTTAGCAATAACAAAATGTCACACAACTGAAGACAATCAATTCTCTACAAGAGCTATATGAAGCAACTTCTGCTATAAGAATGACGTTGCATAATTAAACAGGTATAATAAACTATGATAGAAAATTTTTAAAAAATACTAAGGGCTCTCATTACTGTTGGTGCTGCTACCTTGGAGTCTAGGGGCTCAGGTTCAAACCCCACCTGCTGCAGAAGTGTGCAATAACATCTCTGAACAGGGTGATTAGAAAAATATAAAGTTATACGATTTTGGATTAAAGAGCCAATTGAATGTTTAAACCATAATCTAAAAATGCAGACACAGCATTTTAACCAATTAATCCTTAGTACCTGCAGTCAATATCCTCTCTTCACCCTCAACCCCAATCCCCTCAGACACTTATTCATTTCACCCTGTCCTTTAAGCCATTTCTAAAATATAATGGCTCAATTTTAACAATTCTAGCTCAAAGCTGGATCTACAATGTGATTACCACCAGAAGTTACACATTCAAAATTAAGCTACAAATTAGAATAGACAAAGTATTATAACAAAAGATACTTTTGAAACCATATTAATGTCAAAAGTTTTCTAACTGTAGTTAAACAATTAAAAATAAACTCTGAAAATATACTGCACAAAATCCACTATTGGGAGTTAATTTATACATACCTTCCAAAGTTATGCAATCCATATTAAATGCTCTGGCTAGCTGAGTGGATACCTCCATACTTCGACAGATTAATGTTTTTCCAAACACATGTTTATAAGCTTTATCAAATCTCTGTATATATCTAAGTTTGCTTATCATAGGAATAGCATCCTGAAAAGTGAAATTTACAGATAATTACATTAAAGTGAAAACAAAAAGAAGAAAATATAAAAACAGTCACAAGAAGTTTGCTTATCAATTACAAAGACCGCATTAATCAATTAAGGATTGGAGTGCAATTCATGATAAAAAGGTGGTCGAGACAGAATTTTTGGATGAATTGCTTGTTAAGTGTATACAGTTCTTACTTAATATGAGAATGAGTGAAACGTATTACAGGAATATTTCAGTCAGATCAACCATGTTGATTGTGGAATGGAGTGAATATTTAAGGTGGTAGAAAAGTTCACATACATTGGTTTCAGGATAAGCTGTGTCTCGCACATCCAATTTGTTGAGTGGAAGGAAAGTGACTTCGCCAGGAAAGTTTTGCTTATTAAATTCCATCAAAATCTTTGTACTAACTTCATCAGATTCCACAATATGATAGAAGAGTCTAAAGACAAAACATACAAACAAATTTTTAATTACCTGTCCCAACAAATGTCGTGTTGTGCAGTATATTGCAAGGTGCTGAAGTGCTTCAATGCAGAAAAAAAATTAAGGACATACCCAAGAATAAAGGACAATATTTTTAAGAACTTCAGCACCCACCAGGTAAGCCACAGTAGGTCCTGTTATCCAGTGCTATACACTCTTCAAAATTATTGTTATAGCCTAGGATCCATTAAACACTTAATTGGCATCACCGACTATCATGAGGAATAAAGAATAACAATGACTGATACCAAAACATCCTGGGTCCTTGTTGGCACAAGTCATGTCAGCAGCAAGTGAAGAAGTTACAACCATTTCAAAGCTGAAGAATCATTAAACTGTGACATGCTTGTAAGCACTGATTCATAAAACATTGTGTATTTTTATTATACTATCAATATTTCATTCTCCTTTAAAAACAAAATCAGCTTAATCCTTACTGCAAAAAAGCTGCCTACCGGTTTCCAGCAGTGACTTCAACACAAGTGTAAAAGGCTGGATCACATTCAAAGTTATTCATTACAATCCCGTGATATCCATTTATTACGTGTGTGTTGATGCCTTTACGACCGAAGTGTTCCAATACTTTGTTTATGCTATCAATACCATTCAAAATGGCCTGCAGAGAAAAAAACCTGCCTTTAGTACAGCAAATAGTGGAGTAGGCATTAGAAAATATTACAATGCAGCACTAGCTCATGTTTAAACCACCTAAGGGAATCCTGAAAATTATTCTGAAGGATATGCCATAAAATGTAGGGATTTCCAACTTTAAATACCTATGCATGGACTTTCCACAATCAACCCTGCAATTAACGGCAGGCCACAAGACCGTAAGTAAGAGGAACAGAATTAAGCCATTCAATTCTTCAAGTCTACTCTGCCATTTGATCGTAGAATCCTTAGCATGGAAGCAGGCCATTCTGACCATAGAGTCCACACAGACCCTCCGGAGGGCATGCCATCCAGTCCCAACCTCCTACCCTATCCCTGTAACCCTGCTAATCCACCTATCTTGCACATCATTGGACACTACAGGCAATTTAGCATGGCCAATCCACCTAACCTACACACTTTTGGAGTGAAGGAAACTGGAGCACTTGGTGGAAACCCACACAGACACAAGTAGAACATGCAAACTCAACGCAGACAGTCACCCGAGGTTGCAATCGAGCCCAGATCCCTGGCGCTGTGAGGCTGCAGTGCTAATCACTGAGCCACCATGTCACCCTTATGACTAAACTGCTTCTCAGCACCACTCTCCTGCCTTCGCCCCGCAACCCTTGATCCCCTTAGTAATCAAGAACCTATATCTATCTCTGTCTTGAAGACACTGAATGACTTGCCCTCTACATCCGTCTATAGCAATGAGTTCCACAGATTCACCACCCTCCGGCAGAAGAAATTCCTCATCTCAGTTCTAAAGGGTCATCTCTTCATTCTGAGGCTGTGCCTTTGGGTGCTAGTCTCTCCTAATTGAAATATCATCTCTATATCCACTCCATTCAGGCCTCTCAATATTCTGTAAGTTTCAAACAGATCCTTCTTCATCCTTCTAAATTCCAAGTACAAACCCAGAGTCCTTGACTGCTCCTCGTATGACAAGCCCTTCATTCCCAGGATCATTCTGGTAAACCTCTTCTGGACCCCTCCAAGGCCAGCACATCTTTCCCTAGATACTTAGCCCAAAGCTGTACACAATATTCCAAAAGTAGGAATTTTGACTAAAGCCTGATACAGCTTCAGCAGTACTTCCCTGTTTTTGTATTTTAGCCCTTTTGCAATGAATGCTAAGACTGCACTTGCCTTCCTAACTGCCAAATGAACCCTGCATGTTAACCTTAAGAGAATCCAGAACTTGGACTCCCAAGTCCCTTCGTGCTTTAGATTTCTCAAGCCTTTCCTAGTTTATAAAATAGTCTCTACTTCTGTTCTTCCTACCAAAGGCATAACCTCACACTTTCCCATGCTTTTCACCTACCACTTCTTTGCCCACTCTCCATGCATTACCAAGTCCGTTTGCAGCCACCCCGCCTCCTCAGTACTACCTATCTCTCTCCACCTATCTTTGTGTCATCTGCAATGATGCCCTAGTTCTTTTGTCCAGATCATTAATGCATAACATTGTAGTCCTAATACTAACACTTGTGGCACTCCACTAGTCACTGACTGCCATCCTGAAAAAAGATCCCTTTATCTTCACTCTCTGCCTTCTGCCAGTCAGCCATTCTTCTATCCATGCCAGTGCCTTGATGCTAACAGCATGGGTCTTGTCTTATTTAGCAGCCTCCTGTGCAGCACCTTGTCAAAGGACTCTGGAAATCCAAACAGATCACACCCACTGGCTCTCCTTTGTCTAACCTTTGAGTTGCTTTTGTTTAATTTTGTTCCTAATTCCTGACATTCCACAAACAAGACCGCTTGTTTACTCTTGCCTCTCATGTTGGTCCTAACATGGACCACAACAACTGGATCAGTCCCCTCCCATTCCAATATCCTTTCAAGTCAGTCTAAGACGTCCTTTACCTTGGCACCAGACAGACAACACACCATGGGGAACTCTCAATTCTGCTTACAAAGGATGCTGTCTGTACTCTTAATTACAGAATCCCCTATGACTTTTTGCTTTGCCCACTTGAATGGCTCCTGTACCACAGTGCAGTGGTCAGTTTGCCCATCCTTCTTACAATCCTTTTCCACCAAGGGAAGGCATTATTTCTACAGTTAGATACAGTAAAACAAATACAGATAGTAAGATATGTTGCGCGCTCCTTTTGAAAATGTTGACAACCTGGGAACAGGTCATTACACTGACCTGTCAAATGGGGGAAACAACACGCAGCTTGGGGAGGAAGACAGTTTGCAGATATTTCTTCCAATTTTCAAACTTATGCAAAATAAAGCAGAAAAACCTCTTTATGTGGACATATGAACAAGGAGCAAGTGTAGGCTTATCAGCCCTCAAGCCAGCACCGTTATTTAATTGCAATATAGCTTTTTTTTTCTTTAGTCATTCATAGGATAAGGCATCGCTGACTAGGCAGCATTTATTGCCCATCTCTAATTGCCCAGAGGGCAGTTCAGCGTCAATCACATTGCTGTGGGTCTGGAGTCACATGTAGGCCACACCAGGTAAGGGTGGCACTTTCCTTCCCTAAACGACATTAGTGAACCAGATGGGTTTTTCCTGACAATCAACAATGGATTCATGATCATCATTAGATTCTAAATTCCTGATATTTACTGAATTCAAATTCCATCATTGGGATTCGAACCCAGGTCCCCAGAATATTATCTGGGTCTCTGGAATAACAGTCCAACAGTAATACCATGAGGCCATTGCCTCCCCCTGCTCCCATCAGCTGATCTGATTGTAACCTCAAATTCCCATCTACTCCTGATAACCTCTAACCTCATACTCACCAAGAATCTATCCACCTCTTCCTTAAAAATATTCAAGGTCTCTATTTCTACCACTTTTTCAGGAAGAATTCCAAAGGATCATGATCCTTTGTGAGAAAACATTTTTGCTTCATCTATTTTAAATGGAGGATCCCTTATATCCCTGCTCCTCAGGATGTTAAATATTTCAATCATGTCACCTCCTACTTTTCTAAATTCCAGCAGACACAAGCCAAGTTTGCCCAATTTTTCTTCATAAGACATTATTTTCACTAGATTGGTCAACTTCTCTGAACTATTTTCAACACAATTATTATTCTTCCCTAAAGAAAGCGACCAATATTGTACACAGTACTTCAGATGTGGTCTCATCACTGCCTTGTATATGAATCAATATTCAGTTATAATTTATTTTTAAAATAATGTGACCCACAAATTAGGTGAAAGGCCTCACTCAAGCTCTCTTACAAAAGATTGCAAGTGCGCTGCAGCACATTAACAAATTGCTATTAGGATATCACTTATCCTTCCGGAGGCTTAGATGTAATAGAAACAACATTCTCCACTGTGCCAATGCAAATTAATGCAGGCTTATCACAAGCTAAAGAGAGAAACTGAACCCAAAATAAAATTACAAATTACAATCCATATTCCTCAATTCTGCTCCTTTGTCATCATGCTACCTTTTAGGTTCCTGCACAGTTTGCTTTACTCCAGATGAATAACAAGACTTGCCTTTCCTGTTGCACCTCGAAGAAGCTGCTGTTTCTTTTCCAATTCTTCTCGTTTTGCTGCCAACGCTTGCTGTTCAGCGTTTTCTTCCCGCCATAGGTAACTAAAGAATAAAAACAGTCCTCAACTCTAGCACCATTTCATTCGATATAAAATGAATTTTAAACTGAAATTCATTCGTAGTCAGTGCTTGGGTACGCTGATCACAGTGTGATCAGACAGTCACCGTGGTTTTACGAAAAGGAAAACAGCATAGCAAACCAGTAGATATTGTATTCTTGTATTTCCAAAGGCATGCCAAAAGATTAATACAAAAGATAAGGATTCAGAGAGTTGGGGTTATAAGTAGCACGTGAGATAAACAGACCAAAAGCAGATTGTAGGAACAAAAGGAATATTTCAAGTTGGCAGGCTATGACTCATGATTACGCCAGGAGGGTGGCGTATGCTCCATTATTGAATATATTGAAGGTGGAATAAATATTTTTGATTTCTCAGGGAATCAAGGATCTATGGGGAGTGGCACGCAAAGTGCAATTAAGGTCGAACATTAGCTTTGTTTCTGTTGAATGGTAGGCTCAGACTTGTGGGGCCATCCAGTCTACTCCATCTGTGCAAAGTAACACAGTAGTGTGCTTTTTGTTGTTATTCTAGTATTCTGAAAATGCAAGGTAAAACTTCATCATTAGCAGTGTGAAAACTTGTCTTCAGTTTAAAGAAGAGAGATAAAAAGCTGGTATCAGCTTAAGAAAAAACACATGAACCAAGTGGAACATAACAGAAGTAGGTAATTTGGCATGGATAGCAGGAACTGCAGATGCTGGAGAATCTGAGATAACAAGGTGTAGAGCTGGATGAACACAGCATGCCAAGCAGCATCAGAGGAGCAGGAAGGCTGACGTTTCGGGCCTAGACCCTTCTTCAGAAATGGGGGAGGGGAAGGGGGTTCTGAAATAAATAGGGAGAGAGGGGGAGGTGGATAGAAGATGGATAGAGGAGAGGATAGGTGGAGAGAGGAGACAAACAGGTCAAAGAGGCGGGGATGGAGCCAGTAAAGGTGAGTGTAGGTGGGGAGTTAGGGAGGAGATGGGTCAGTCCAGGGAGGACGGACAGGTCGAGGGGGCGGGATGAGGTTAGTAGGTAGGAGATGGGGGTGGGGCTTGAGGTGGGAGGAGGGGATAGGTGGGAGGAAGGACAGGTTAGGGAGGCAGGGACAAGCTGGGCTGGTTTTGGGATGCGGTAGGGGGAGGGGAGATTTTGAAGTTTGTGAAGTCCACATTGATACCATTGGCCTCCTCTACATCGGGGAAACCAAGCGGAGGCTTGGGGACCACTTTGCAGAACACCTATGCTCAGTTCGCACTAAACAACTGCACCGCCCAGTCGCGAATCATTTCAATTCCCCCTCCCATTCCTCAGACGACATGTCCATCCTGGTCCTCCTGCAGTGCCACAACGTTGCCACCCGAAGGGTGCAGGAACAGCACCTCATATTCCGCTTGGGAACCCTGCAGCCCAATGGGTGAAGCCATTTTTATATTGTCAACCTGCCTCCTGGGAGTCAAATGCTTGGCTACATCTCACCCTAGCTCTATAACACCCTGAAGTGGGTAGGCTTAAGATTCCCTAATTTTTGCATGAAAATTAAGCCCATAAGTTTTAGTACCAATTACTGGCACAAGCAAAGGTACACCACTTTAAACCTTATTTGATAAAGATTTGTCAATTTGGCCTTGGGTTCGGGTTTCTGTATTGAAGCAATTAGTATATTGTAATTAACTGACCACTAACAGTCTGTGCTATTCAAAAAATAATGCTATATTCTAGATACTTTCTAATCAACCTGTTGATGCTTGCTATGATGAACCTCTGGTACAAGTAGAACTTAAACCCAAGCCTTCTGAACCAGAGATAGGGATACTACCACTGCACCACAAGACCCAAATGCTATACTCTTGTCAATATGCTTTAATAAGTTTTGCCAAATCTGTACACTTACTGCAATCCCAATCCATACTTTATGTCATATTTATAAAGAGAACAGATTGAAAATGGTATTACAATGTTTATTTGGTCTATTGTTATACCAGTTTAATATAAAGATTTTTAGAGATCATATGAACACGAACTTTCATGAATCAAATAACGTTCTAATAGTTCGTTTTTGAACTTACTTCCTCTCACTTTGCAGCTCATCTTTCCTGTTTTTTACTTCATAATATTTTTTGTCAAGATCCTCCACTCGTGCTTTTACTTCGGCCAGATCTTGATCAAGTTTCTATAAACAACAAAAAAATAAGTCCAGTGATACTACGGGAAATTATAAAACAAGGTTTTGATTCCATGGCTACCCAAGTACAATCATGATATGCACAAGATTTGAAAATTCCTGCAATTTGCATCAAATTTACACCGAACAAGGTAGGAGCTGGACTTGTGAGTGCCTGATTTTTGGATGCCACAAGTGCCCATAGATCTCAGAAAACAGTGCCAGCTCCATAATAGCTGCACCATAAGCTGCACATTGAGAGAATGGTTACCGTTCCTATTAATTTATGCCTGGCCATTCTTCAGGAAAAGTCTGAACTCTGACTCACACTGGCAAAGTTGTGAATACTGTTAAGGGCTCACACTATCTGTCTCTCACACACACATGGCCAAACTGTGTTGGATGATGATGTATTTTTGAGGGTGCCATCATGCACACAATGAACACCCATTGGAATTATGCAGACCAGACAGACCTTGTCAGGAATTGGCAAGCCAGGCAGGATGCTCATGATGGCAGGGAGTACAGAACCAGTGATCACAGTCTAAGGATATGGGGTAAACCATTTATGACTGATAAGAGAGATTTCTTCACCCAGAGTGTGGACAGCCTGTGGAATTCTCTGCCATGAAAATCAGTCAAGGCCAAAACATTGTATGATTTCAAGGAGTTGATTCAGCACTTAAGGCTAAAGGGATCAAAGGATATGGGGTAAAAGTGGGAGCAGGCTATTGAGTTGGAGATCAGCCGCAATTATAATGAATGGCAGAGCAGGCTCGAAGTGCCAAACAACATACTCTGGCTCCTATTTTCTGTTGTGTGCGCGCTTTGGTTAAGATGTCCTCAATGAAAATCTGCCATTGACTACAACCTCAGAAATGCATGGACTTTACTGCCAATGGCTAGGAGGTTGCCATGATGATGAACATTTACGCGTAGAACACGATGGGTGGAAACTGGCTCAAGGAGCCGAATGGCCTGCTCCTGACCCTATTACTTATGGTCTTATAGATAACAGGCGTTAAAGGAAGTAGCTCAAATTTCTTACTTCCAGCACGGTTTCTTGCCTACACTATGTGCAGTATCAGGATTCCTGATGCCAAATAAACATGGCTGTCCAACCACTTAAACTGCAGGAAAGCTGCAGCAGCTTGTGCCAGAATAAAACAGGCACTTCCAAAGACTGATTATGTGAAATCAGAAGTCACCTACATACCTCTACTACAGGTCTCAAACTAAGCAACAAAAATAGATAGACATATCCAAAAATAAATTGGAATAAAATTTAAAAAAGCATGGAATGTAGTAGGTCACAATTGTAAAAATCATTGAAAGCTGATTCATTAGAATGAGAATGTTTAATATTCTGCATGCAGGAAGGATACAAATGAGCAGGTAGAAATAATGTGACAATAACTCTGCTACTTTGCAAATTTTAGAAGAATTATAAAAAGAACGCCAGACCAGTCACATCAGTTTATCACCGTTGATTTTTCTCCAATATACGAACAATACAATTAGCTGCTCATTTAATAAAACAGTTTACATAATTACATAGCTCTAAGTTAGAGACCTGCCTGGCAATTTTAAGAGATAGTAGGAACTGCAGATGCTGGAGAATAATTTTAAATTTTATTTTGTTTTAAATTTTAAATTTTGTTTCCAGGTGAAACAATAAATTTCTTGCAAGTTTTTTGTCCTGGTCTGGTGCATTTGCTCCTCTACATGGGGGAGATTCAGTCTGCAAGAAAGATGTCAATATATAGTCACTGGCTAATTTAGTCACCTTCCTATGGTGAAGCCACCACAAACTGGAAGAACAACACCTCATTTCCCTTTTAGGCACTTTACAGCCTTCTGACCTAAACACTGATTTCAGCAATTTCAGATCACAAACTCCATTTTCCATTTTGTTTCACCTGCCTTTGGCCCCATCCCTTATACAATCTTTGCCTTTTATTTCGTGACATTTGAGATCTCTAATCTCTCTAACTAAGTCCCAAGATTCAATGGGCTGAGGAGTGGCAGATGGAGTTTAACTTAGATAAGGGTGAGGGGTTGCATTTGGTAAGACAAACCAGGGCATTTCGAATGAGCCAGAGGCAATGGTGGAGGTGGGTACAATTAAAACATTTAAAAGACAATTGGACAGGTACATGATTAGGAAAGATTGAGGGGGATAGGGGCCAAATGCAGGCAAGTGGGACGAGTTCAGTTTAGGAAACCTGGTCAGCATGGATGATTTAGGCCAAAGGGTCTGCTTCCGCACTTCATGACTCTTTGATTCTCACACTCTAAGCCTTCTCTAACCTTCCCTTCTGTTCCACTTGCACACCTTTTTTCTATAAAATAAAACTCAAAAAGTGACCCTCAAGTTAAACCACCACCAGTCGTCTCTCTCTAATGACAGAGCAGTGCTATGGACCTCTGGGACTATGTTTTTATTATACAAATTAAAAGTTGCCAAAAAGTAACTCTATCTTTGTAACAGCAACAGGTTTGCAGATATATAGCCTCTTTAAAAAGTCCAATGAATTGCTTCACAGTCATCGACGTGATTTTTGCATCACTGTTCTAACGCACAAAGTATCACAGCAAAGAATAGCATAAGCAGCTATCCCATAAGAGCAATGAAATAAATGATCAGTTTTAGTAATTTTGGTTAGAGAGTAAACGTGCCCAGGTCTTTGGAGAACGCCACTATTCTTGTTCAAATTGTGCCATGCGATCTTTTACATTCAATTCAGAGTGGGGACAGGGCCTCTGTTTTATTCTCATCGGAAAGATGATGCCTCTAGCTGTGCAATACTCTCTTAACACTACACTTGGAATGTCAGCCGAGCTTATGTGCTCCTGCTTTTGTCATGGGCTTTTGGGAAATACAATCCTGACTTACAGGGTGTTAGCCAAAACTAACAAGCTTTGTTTTCCTGAGTTTTCTTCAATCTCTTTTCTGATTCTGGGTATTTTGTGACCTGTGTAAGTGCATCCTTTTATACATTGATGCAAATCCCTTTCCAGATACTTTACTTAAAATGCCCATCAAAATTTCTGAGAGAGGAAATAATCTTTACAAGAATTCCTTTTTGACAAATTTCTCAGCAAATAATAAAGAAATGCATTACATCATGTGATACACAAAAGATAGACAAACATCTCAAATAATCCATTGGTGGTAGTAATTACTTACAGTGTATTGTTCCAGGTTTCTCTCTTTATTGGCTTCTGTATCCTCAAGGTCCTTGGTAATTGCAGCAATTTGTCGTTTTTTATCATTAATAGCTTGATCAAGCGATTTCAGCTCTTTCTTGATCCATTTATCTCTTTCCTCTTTTGACGTAAACTGACTGCCTCGACCTTGTTTAGCATACAAATCTGTCCTTTCTTGGGTGGCCTGTGCCAGTCTAAGTAGAATAAAGGAAACTGAATAAATACCAAAAGATTATGAGGACCACTACAATTTGGCTCGCAATATGCCACCTCAGGCTATTGAGACAGCAAGTAATAACTATGCTTTTTAAGTCTCTATTGTATATAAATAGACTTTTTTTAATGGCCTGTCACTAAAGCAACATCCGACTCCCAGTAGTCAAGTCATTCTTTGGATTTAGTTTTCCTTGATTCCACTGCAAGTGTTGGTGGGTCTTGGTGGGTCTTGGTTCGGCCAATTTATACTGTGCAAACATTTCAAAAGCAAATAGCTTTGGATTCTGACATCGTCCACCTCTACTTTACATGGTTGATTTGAAATAGCAACAGCAGAAACTAAATGCTTATATTCAGTCCAGTAGTGCAAAATATCCCTTAAAACTGCTGAGACAGTGCTAAGGCTTGAGTGGCCAACTTGCATGATAAATTTACATTTCACCTGCAGCATATAAAATACTTTTACATTATATTCAGATCTACTCCTAGTGTGAATTTTAATGATAATACATTCCTCTATGCAAGTCCAAATTCTTGAACATCCTAAGCAGAGATTTGAGACACTAAATGGGACCTAAGAAGAAGCAAGGCTTCTCAAGTGCTTCTCAAATTAAACAAAAAAGAACAGAAAACAGCAGCACGGTAGCTCAGTGGTTAGCACTGCTGTCTCACAGCACCAGGGACCTTGGTTCGATTCCACCCTCGGGCGACTGTCTGTGTAGAGTTTGCACATTCTCCCCGTGTCTGCGTGCGTTTCCTCCAGGTGCTCCGGTTTCCTCCCACAGTCCAAAGATGTGCAGGCTAGGTGGGCTGGCCATGCTAAATTGCCCATAGTGTTCAGGGATGACTGCTATAGGGAGATGGGTTCTGGGTGGGATGCTTTGAGGGTCGGTGTGGACTTGTTGGGCCGAAGGGCCTGTTTCCACACTGTAGGGATTCTAAGAGCTATGAACCAAGCTGTACAGAAAATGGCTGATAACAAATGAAAGGTGAACTATTTAATACAAAACAGAAAAAATGAAATAGCGAACACCATGGGGAAATTAATATAAACAGATAGCAGTGTTTGGATTTTCTTTCAAACCTGAACAGGTTATCCATCTACAGGTCCAAACTAAAGTGTAATATCCTGTAACTAGCTACTTCCATCCATTTCGGGCCGAGACCCTTCATCAGAAATGGAGGAGGGGAAGGGGGTTCTGAAATAAATAGGGAGAGAGTGGGAGGCGGATAGAAGATGGATAGAGGAGAGGATAGGTGGAGAGGAAACAAACAGGTC